CCCTTTTCTTCGCAAAACAGAAAGGAGAATTCTACTTTGTGAGGGTTATAATCCCTAAGCGCGGCCGAAGGCCGCCTACCCAGAAGGGTGTTCTCTGCAAAAGGTGTTCAGCCCCTTTTGGTCGCAAAACAGAAGGAGAATTCTACTTTGTGAGGGTTATAATCCCTAAGCGCGGCCGAAGGCCGCCTACGCAGAAATGTGTTCTCTGCAAATGGTGCTCAGCCCCTTTTCCTCGCAAAACAGAAAGGGAATTCTACCTTGTGAGGGTTATAATCCCTAAGAGCGGCCGAAGAGCGCCTACGCAGAAAGGCGTTCTCTGGAAAAGGTGTTCAGCCCCTTTTCTTCGCAAAACAGAAAGAGAGTTCTACTTTGTGAAGGTTATAATCCCTAAGAATAAACGGCTGTGCAACAAAAATTTTGTGTTGAATATAATAAAAATAAAGTGAAGCGAAATTGTTCGTGTTGAAAAATCATGTGTTGAAATAATTTATGTAGAAAAGTCATATGTTGAGTTAATGTGTTGAGTTGGTATGTGTTGAAATATCTTGTGTTATTTAGACCTGTTACCAAAAAGGCGTTTGCAATGTTCAACTTTGCATTCTACTTTTGTTGAACGGCCTTTCAACTTAATCGCTGTAAGCAAAGTTGGTCGCCAGCCAACATTTAGCCATTCAACTTTTTTTCGTGCAACCCTGCGTGAGTTTAACGCAAAATTTGAACGCAGAATCGCCTCCTGCGAACATCTTTTAACAAAAACCATACAAGTCCAAACTTTGTAGAAAAATTCAACGAATCAACAATTCAACAAAGTTTTTATTGAGAATTTTTAGAATAATTCTAAGTATGCAGTTTTGGAGCCCATTAAATTATAGCTTAATAAAGGGCAACTTTCAAGTGGCGCTAATTTTTGAAGAATTGTTCGCTGATGGTATTATTTTCTTCCAAACAAAAAAAAAAATTGTCGATCATACTTTGAATTTAATGGGCTATAAATCTGCATACGTAGAATTTTTGCAAAAATTATTAATAAAACGTTTGTTGTAAAATGTTGCAAACAGCGTTATGTGATTTTATAATAAAAAGCCATAAATTTGAAAAAACGACTACGAGAACAAGTAACATTTAAATTGAATCTTTATTATGACCTGAAAATTTGGATAAATAAGAGCTTTATAAAATTGTAACATAACATAAGATAACATTAACAGTCTATACGACCTAAAGCAGTTTTCTAAGTTCATCAGAAGATGTATAGTTTTGAAAGTTTATAAATAAGTGTGATAGCGACTTTTGGAAGAAGAGTTAACGTTTGATGCTATTTTTTTTTCAGGATATAAAAAGATTTTGCACTGTGTTATTAGTGGAGATGAAACTACTATAAATACTGGTACGTAATCCTCCAAAAACTAAAAATCGAAAAAAAATTACATAGCGCACTTTGCAAGTGGATTACTCAAATGTTGCTGAATGTTTTTATTTTTTCTACAAAGTTTTAAATTTAGACTTATGCATGTGATTTTTGCAAGATAATGAGCTATATTTTTATAAAAAATAATAAACATTAAACCAACAAAAGAAAAATAGTCACATCTGGTCAAAATTTCGTGTCCTTATTGTTTTTCACATGACTGTATATTAAAAAAACTTACAACTGTTTTGGCACTAACCCGTACCGTACCCGTTCCGATGTTAAATTTAAGAAGTATTTTCAAGGACAAGCTTTAAACAAAACATAGAAATCGAGTTGCTGGAAGAAGAAGAGTTTCATTTCCTTTAAAAGTTTTAAGTGCTGCATTTTTTCCTACTTACGGGAGGAAATATTTTTTAATAGCATGGTTCTAAAACAATACAATTCGGATGTTACTTGTTGTTGTAGCGGTTTTTTTTTAATATATGGCTTACTGTTATAAAATCACATAAGCTGTTTGCAAGTGGACTACTCATTTATCTGATCAAAAAATACAAAACTCTTAAAATATTCACAAATCGTCACCTAAATACAAAAATCCGTAACTACACAATTTTTTGCAATTCGGTCAACTTATCATAATCAATCAAAAGGTAACGGTATGTGAATAGTGCCGCTTTACTTAAAGATTGGTGCCGCGGTGAAGGGTAAAAGTCTATAGTTTGTGTTGACTCTTATACATACTCATTTCCTATTGAATATGTTGCGGTTTTAGGATTTTAAAAGCAATATCATATTTAATTATTTAAAAATGAGGCATTTCATGTCACCGTGGCCAACTCTGTGCGCAACCTCTCAGGATTTGGATGAAAGTTGAAGAGGTTGATGGTCTAGGTGACATGAATATACGTGCAGCATATTTTGAAGATATTACGTAGGGTTGCCTATTTACACAGAGCTTAAATTTTAAGAAAACGTCATACATACCTTTCTTTATAGTGCTATATCTTGGAAACCCTTTAACGAAACTTAATGAAAAAAAAATGTATTCCTTACGTCTTATTATGGACTTTAATTGTACATTTTCTACATAAATGTGCAACGTACAAAAAAAACAAAACAAAAAAAATTAAGTAAACATTTTTCTTTTTGATTTTTTTTTATTATAGCATTTTTTAATTTTTATTTTTACATAAAAACATTGTCTATATTGTCAACTTTAAGTACCCAAATGGGCGTAATGGGTACGGAGGCGTATGGACTCTAGATCGTCTAACGCTCGAGCAATAAATAAATAAATAGACATTGAAATTTTATGAAATTGTATATTTTTTGAAAGAGGAAAGGTGATTGAAAAACAAAAACAATATGAATAAATCATATCAACTTTACTAAAGGTCTGAAATCATGAAAATTCCTTCAAGGAAATAGCAGAATTGAACTTTGTTGCAAGTTCACTGGAAAATCTGCTTGCGACGTGATTGGAGGAAATCTTAAGAGACTAGCAGCTGGAGCAAGTCTTTAACTCCTGATGTTACAACAAATTCGTACACCCGAAGCCCTCTACCAATGGAGTGCTGTATGTTTCCAATGGAATGCCTGTAAAAAATAACTGCAACTAACTTTTCAGTGGACTTTATTTCAACTATGACTACATGCCAATTACTTTAATCCTATTTTAAGCTAGTTTAAAAGGTTAAATAACATCAAGTTATGGAACTTCATATCCTTATTTAACGAATCTTCAAATCAATAAATATTTTTTTTCTTTTTAGTTCTCATTGTAATAAAAGCGTGTTGTTAGTTTTATTTTAACTATAATTTTATTACTCATTCGATTTATTTTTTACACACCCTTCCTTTTTTTTGTTTTAATAAAAGGACTAACCTTGTAGCTATCATTGGAGGTCTAATATTCTTTTGCAATGAGTGTGGTTGTTGTTGATGTTGTTGAAGTTTCGTGTTGTTGAAGTTTATGTAAAAACAAAATTTTTTAAAAACGCTATAATCAAAAAAAAATCATAAAGAAAAATGTTAACTTTTTTTTACGTTGCACATTAATTTAAAAAATGTACAATTAAGGCCTATAATAAGACGGAAGACATTTTTTATCATTAACAGCCTTATTCTGTATCACGAGCGATAGGCAACACGAACGATTCGGTGGCATCATTTTAGCCGGTTTAAACGCAACCGAGACCATTGCAACGTATTGTATGAAAAGCAAGACGAAGACGACCGATAGAGTTTAAAATCGTAATCAGAGAGGTTGTCGTCTGCAGACGAATCGTTCGTTTTGCCTATCGTTCGTGATACAGAATAAGGCCCTAGGTTTCGATAAAAGGTTTCCAAGATACAACCCTTTAAAGAAAGGTATGTATGACGTTTTCTTAAAATTTAGGTCCCGTGTAAATAGGCAACCCTACGTCATATCGGCAAAATATGCGGCACGTATATTCATGTCACCTAGACCTTCAATCTCTTCAACTTTCATACAAATCCTGAGAGATCGCGCACAGAGGTGGCCGCTGTGACATGAAATGCCTCAAATGTAACTGGTTTTACAAGGCAAACATTACACACATACATACATATCCATAATTATCCTTTTTCTTCATAGCTAACTTTGCAGCTGGCGCTTGCGTTCTTGTGCGAACATGCCCTTCACTTGACAAGATTGAACGCGGATATGATGTATATTCACCAAGACTCAGGTTTGATGAATGTCTCGTATTATAAATTTGATATTAACGACGAAAAGGAAGAACTTGATTCTAATCGGCCTGTACCGTTCCGACTAACACCGAACATTGCTGAATTCGTAACAAATATTGGAATAACTGGTCCCTTGTCAGCTGCAATGGTGGCCACTGCACGGTGCTTTGTTCAGCCGAATTATAAGCTGTGTTCGATTCTAAAAGCCATACTCAGAGACGAAATAATTGCTGTCCAAAAAAAACGCATCCGAGATAATAAACTTGTGGAGCCTATAACAGACTCTGCGCTTGATATAAACGCAATGGATAACACCATCAGTTTGGTTAATAAGGCAGTCGCAGTAATAATGTCACGACTGAATGCAATTTCATATTTTGATAATACCGAATCTAAAAAAGTGTCGATTTTAGTACAGTCTGCAATTAATCCAGACAATTTATGTCGCATGGATCCAGCATGGCATCCATGGTTATAAAAATGTAAGAATTTTAATCTAACAAGTCTAATAATTACAAAATAAAAATGCCTATACATTTAAATAAATATATATTTACTCGTAGTATGTAAATTAATTTTTTACACTTACTTTATTGATAGAAATATTCTTTAAGATTTGACTTATTTTGAAAGTGATACTTGGAGCATATTACTACGCAGAAGTTCTTCTAAATATGTTTTTTTCGGATAGTTTTTGTAGCAATAGTTCAGGCTGCATTGTAGATTGAAGTAACTCAGACAATTGTTCTAACCCACGGCGCAAAGTATGTGTTTGTCCGAGATACGTAATATTTACCGTAATATTGCAGCCTTGTTGCTTCCTTGATGCTCAGTAGCTAATGCTTAACTGGAAATCTTCTGAAATGCTGCAGAAAAAGCGCAATCAATATTTTTATATTACATTTGATTTGCTAACTTTCGTTCCCTTCTGAAATGCTGCAGAAAAAGCGCAATAAATATTTTTATTTTACATTTGATTGTCATAACTTTCGTTCCCTCTATTACCGGCAGTGAATCGGTTAATTACCGAAGGGAATAAGTCAGCATTTTTTCGATATGACAATTTTGATGCAGTTCGGTTCATTTGAAGGAACTCTGTTGAACTGCATCAAATTTGCCATATTGGAAAGATGCTTACTTATTCCTTTTGGTAATTAACCGATTCAATTATGCTCTTATTAAAAAATGTATATATGTTCAGCATGTCACAAGTTTTTTTTCTAATAAATGTTCTTTATTTCGAGTTAAATAGTTGCCGTAAGTATTTATGAGTATTGTGTATGGCTTCTATATTGGAGATCTTCTGAATAATTATCTATCTTCAATTTATCCTAAACTTGTGATAAATTAACACTAAAACACATTTTTCTTAAGAGAGATAGACAGACAGTCCTTATTCCTTATATATATGTATACTATATGTAATTAGATGTCTTTAGTAAAATTATAACATATTTTTACTCTTGCGTTTCTTGATGCGTCAATAAGAGACGAGTTAGTAGAAATTTTTTATCATGCCCTTCTAAAACTAATTGATTTTTCAAAACCTCAACCATATTTTTGTTCGCATCAGAAACAGCGTAGAAATAATACAGTAACAAAGTTAAAACAAAAAAGCAAGGTATAACAAAACCGGGAGTTCCGAAAAAGAACACAAAATCTTTGAAAAATGCTGGCATTCCCATAAAGGTAGACAACGGAGCATCCCACACCGTTTTTAGTCCTCTAAATGGTCCACATGCGACAGAAGGAGTTACTTCAGAAAACGCATAAGTTAGTACTATCACTGAAACAATGAAAGATATCAATAACACAAACATAAAAAGAGAATTAGACCTAGATGTTCCATATAGTATTTTTGTTGGTTTGGAATTGACGAGACACTGGAACTTTTTAACGTAAAACATTAGAAACGTAATTACTATTGTTAAAGCTGGCAAAAAGGGCATATAAAAGCTTCCAATCCAGCAAATGGTTTGTAAATACACAATATCCAGAGCATGCTTTGACAATTCGAACTCTTGCTCACATACGAATTTCACGAAAGTATTACTATCAAAATATAAAGCCAATATAGCACGGGGTAGGTTAAAGCAAAACGTTACAAATAGATGGCTTACGAAATCTGTTAGAACAAGTTTGTAGAACTGTTGCCCCACAAAGGTTTCCCAACATTTATATGAAGTGAAATTCGAAATATTGCTTTCGGAATTTGGTATGACAATGTAGTAGAAACGGCTTAATAAAATAAACAAAGATGCTAGTCGTAGAAATATCATTCGGATGAGACTGATTTTTATCACAAACATTGGGGAGTATTTTTCAAAGCTACACAAATATTTAAAAAAAACTGGCAATATAAGGTTTAAGCATACAATGGAAACATAGGGAGCAAAATCATAAAAGAGCTCAAGAAGTTGCAGTGATGGTTCTTTAACTTCAGCAAAATCTAATGAATTTACTTCTATATAGCTCACGTTTGTATATTTACCATACCCTTGTTGCAGGCTCATATTGAATAGCAAAAATATAATGTACGCAGAGAGTATTAGTATAATAACGACCGCAAAATTAACAATAATTCTTATCATGATAAGTCTAAGCATATAGTCATTTGAGCGATTATTTCTTTCGACCTCAATTCTTTTAGAGTGAATTGAGTTTTTGAATTCATTAAATACTGCTTTATGTTTAATGATACTCGATTTTTCATTGTGAATACAAAAGTCCCAGCCCCCAAAAGCCAGGTTGCAATATTGATAAAACTGCCATCTCCCGTTTATAAGTCGATCTTTGAATTCTCGTGCTGATGCTTTTACAATAAATATTAATGTTGTTGTAAAATAGCCCAATACTGCAAATATATATGCCGACGATAAATCGTATAGAACCTGATCGCTTTCGGTGTGTGTAGAGTTATGAGATTCTTTAAGAGCAATTCCGACTCTTTTATTAGAATACCCCCCATAAAACATTAAAGAAACTTCTAATATTCCAGTGCCTTGCACTAAATCAAGGATACTAAACGATTCTCTGTTCTTACTATCTACGTAAGTGTTACGATCAACGATTTCTGTAAGACAATTGCTAGAGTAATTTACATTTGGCGAAAGCTTACATCTGTCCAAAATTTTCTCGCGTGTTAGAATGTTTGGAGTGATTACAAATATAACAATTAACAGAAATGTAATACAATTAAGGTAGAAAAGCCATCGCAGAAAAATGAAATAAGCAGCTACGCCGCTACCAAAATGACCTTCGATTTGTTTTAAAGACGACTGCCACAGTTTGATAGTAGCACTAAATTTAGACCACTCCAAAGCAATTTTTTGCCAAGCTTTACGATGTTTCCATTTAAGTTGGTTAAAGCCTTGAAGACGTAATTTTGTTGCACTCTGAAGAGAAAGAGAAATTAAAATGCAAGATATTAGATTAAGCTACGAATAATTCTAAAGGGAAAGTAACAATAAAAACCGGTCAAAAGATGCCATGATTTGTATTACAATAGGTGTGTACTCGTACGCCCAACTATCTAAAGTTTTAGAAAACTTTTACTGGTTTTGCGTTCTCGTACCCAAAAAACTTGCAAAGTAAGGGAAATTGAGAGAGCAAAATGTGAAAGAGAGCTGCAAATGTCTGCTGGAAAAATTTTTCCCAGCTAAAACTTGCAAGTTAGAAAATCAGCTGATCACAAACACATGTTTGTAAATAAACAAAAGCAAATATGGCCTCTTTGAGTTATTTATTGCAAATTTTATTATTAATGCTAGTATACAACGAAAAAGTGAGTAAATTTAATATGCACAACGTTTGTTGTGTTTATTTTTCGCTAATTTGCTATTAATCTCCAGTTTGTTTACTTTAGTGTGTGCCGACTATGGTTGCCGTATGACATTTTTCGTTTGTACCATAATTTACCTTTAAATATATCAAAATAGGTTTATGCAGCGTTTTTGCTGCATTTAAAATGCAACATTTAGCACTTTCGAACATATGTTTTCGAAGAGCGTTCATGCTACCGCATTTAGCAAATGTACATTTACGCGAGTTCGAAATCGTATGCTTTTGACAAACAGCCCTGTTCCAATCGCTTATTCAGATCCGTATCTATTACGATAAATTCTCACGGAAAAGATAATGTGCAAAAACGCCTACTGAAAAGGAAAAAATTAATTCTAAACCGAAAATTCAATACAAAAACTTGAATTGTTTTAACCATAACCGAACATTTGTTTGTGTATATATTCATTTGTCGGCGCTTTCAATTATAATTTCCACACTTAATTAGGAAACAAAACAAACAGAGTTGATCACAAATTAATCCAGATTTCTATCAGCGTCATATCGATGTTGAATTTGCGTAACTTTTCTTTATCCAAATAATGTAAAATAATAAATGAAATCTCGATCGGCGATCACTGAAACGCAGCTAGCGACTGTATACTCGAAAAAGCAATGTTGCCAGTTTTTCTCATTAAACCATGTTCGAATCGTGGAAATTTTGGAAGATCACAGGGTTGCTTTTAGCATTTAGATTCTTAATGCAAAAATGGAGTTGCATTTAGTTGCATTTAGGTGACGAATTTTGTATGGATAAATGTACATTTAGAGTAGCATTTAGAGCTAATGGGCTGTTTTTGCTTACGCGTAAAAGCACATTTAGGGCATTTAGCTCTAAATGCTACTCTAAATGTACATTTATCCATACAAAATTCGTCACCTAAATGCAACTAAATGCAATTCTATTTTTGCATTAAGAATCTAAATGCTAAAAGCAACCCTGGGATCTTCCAAAATTTCCACGATTCGAACATCGTTTAATGAGAAAAAGTGGCAATATTGCTTTTTCGAGTATACAGTGGCTAGCTGCGTTTCAGTGATCGCCGATCGAGACTTCATTTATTGTTTTACATTATTTGGATAAAGAAAAGTTAAGCAAATTCAACATCGATGTGACGCTGAGAGAAATCTGGATCAATTTGTGATCAACTCTCTTTGTTTTGTCTCCTAATTAAGTGAGAAAATTTTAATTGACAGCACCGACAAATGTATATACACAAACAAATGGTCGGTTATGGTTAAAACAATTCAAGTTTTTGTATTGAATTTTTGGTTTAAAATATATTTTTTCCTTTTCAGTAGGGTTTTTGCACATTATCTTCTGCCTGAGAGTTGATCGTAATAGATACGGATCCGAATAAGCGACTGGAACACGGCTGTTTGTCAAAAGCATACGATTTCGAACTCGCGTAAATGTGCATTTGCTAAATGCGATAGCATGAACGCTCTTCGAAAACATATGTTCGAAAGTGCTAAATGTTGCATTTTAAATGCAGCAAAAACGCTGCATAAATGCGCTAAATGTGCTTTTACGCATAAGCAAAAACAGCCCATTAAATGCAGCATGCTGAAATGTTGTTTTGCTGAAGTTTTCGGTTTTGGTACGTTGATTGTTGAAATGAAAATTTTATAATTTTAAAGCTACATCTGTAGCTATATCTATTACATTGTTTTTGGATCAATGATGGGTGTTTGGGGGAGATACTCTTGTTTTTGAATGCGTCACCATGT